GGGACTACCCAGACGTGTGGATGAGTCAGCCCCAAAATCCCAGGACCCTTCCCTGCACTTGATGCCACCAGCAATTAGGGGTGAGAGTTGGAGCACACAGCGTGGCTCTGACACTTACTGAGTGATGCTAGGCAAGTACTTAACTTCTTGGTTCCTCCACTTCCTTATCTGCAAAATGCATAGTAAACACTCAGTAAATGTGGGTTATATTATCATCAAATCGCATCCTATTTCCTGTTGCTCCAAATTCTGCTCTCTATTTAGATGACTCATTTTGAGAGCAAGGATGATGTCTGGTTCTTTTCTTCTCTTCTCCCTTTCCTTGCTCATTTCCATTACCAAACACAGTGCCTTGCTCAGACACGATGCTCCAGTGTTTATTAATAATGATTTCAGTTCCTCTGAACTTTTCTGTTTTCTTAAAGATTTATTTATTTATGCATACAGAATTGGGGTACAGGGCAGAGGTGCAGGGGATGACAGAGTGGGGAGCACTGAAGACAGAGTGGGGAGCAGAACAGGTAGATGGACTGAAACACACTGCTGAGGGGGGCAGTGGGTGAGATAGTAGAGGTCTGCTGCGCCATGTGAGTCAGCTCCCTAGCTGGGGATCGAACTGGTGCCGAGGGGGCTGTGACTAGCTTTGTAGTGCTGTGCTTTAACCAGTTGTGCCACCAGGAAGGGCCCCCTCTGAACTTTTCAATCAGTAAATATTTATTGTTCACCACTGTGGGCAGAGCCCACCCGCCATTTTGCTGAAGTCTTTTATCTCCTATGTTGTCTAATTTGATCCTCATGACATCTCTGAATTGTAAGAACTGTCACACTTTTTCTAGCATCAAAGAAACCGAGGCTTAGCCAAAGTATGTGGCAGGTCACACAGCTAGCTGGTTGTGAAGATAGTTCCACTCAGGAGCTCTGGCTTCGAGTCTGTGCCTTTTCAACCCCAGCATGGATGCGAATGTTCCCTCTGACGTATCAGCTCAAGAGGTTGGATTTTCTAGTAATGCAAGTCCAATCTCCAATCCACTTTTTGGAGACCTGAATACTTTAAATCCATAGAGAAAACTGAGCAAATAGAAACCTTGTTACTTCTTGAAGAAATATTTTAATTAATTTATTGGGCACAATTCAGAGATCACATGCCATTTGGTAAGCATTCCATTATCATTAAGGGGTAACTAATGTATAATTAATTGGAGGGATTACACACATAACTAATTTGATGACTTTTAAAATTTTGCTTAGATTGAAATAAATAGAATCGCATAAATCATAATTAGAGTTGTGCTAATAAAGCTTTCACTTTTGCCTGAGTTGGTGGAAAGTGGTGTGGAAACCACCTGCCTTTTTCTCTGGAAGCATCCACTACCTCAGCTGTTGTTTGCTGTGAGGACAAGCCCAGTTGCAGTTTCAGAGTTGGGCCAGAGACTTCCTCGGTCACCTATGCTGACTTTCTAAAGCAGGGACTGAAAATTCTTTTCCACTGGATAGCTTTTGATAAAACCTCACTCCTGGATCAATTAGTTAATACTTGGAAAGAACCAGAACTTTGAAGGACTTTCTAGTGGCTCCCGCATTCAGAATGGTAGTTTGTGAGGGTGGTCCCCAGCTCTAGAGCTCCCCAAGCCTTGATGTTATTTTGGGGGGTCAGTCTTGCCTGAGGACTCCTTTCTGACTTCTCCAAAGGGTGTTTCAATCCCGGTTATCTCTGAAACATGGGCGTGACAACTGTCCTGTTTTCCAGCACTTTCCACCTTCAACATTCCCTCAAAAGTCAGTGATTCTATTATCGATACCAACCACTCACCTCAACCAGCTGCCCTTGATAGCTGCAATTCTATTTTCAACTTCTTCCCAGCCCACTTTTCAAACCCCTCATCTTTGCGGGTTGCTTGATAGGCTCACCGGCAGCTTCTCTTGTGCTTCATGCTGCTGCCTTCCACTTTCTCAGAGGGCGAGATGGTCCAGCCTGTCCCAAGAGCATCTGCATTCGGGCAGCTGCTCTGGCTTCACAGTAAAACTGCCTATCTGCCCTAAGCAGCAGAAATAGCAAATGTTCCCGATTACAATGTGCAATATGGAGATGAAGAGGATCATGGAAATTTACTACACCCCCCTAATGACAAGTTTCCATTCTCTTCTCCAAAAATGTGGAAGGAAACATATCCCCTTTGCTCATTTCTGTCGTCTGGGCCGAGGGCTGAAACTCCCGACTATTTGGGCAAGACAGAGATGGAGCCCTCCAGGAGCCGGTGATGGGGCTGTTCCTTATGACTCGCTGGGAGGCAGCTGCAGGCAAGGGGAGTCTGGAGGACTGGTACGCTCGCCTGCCCTTTCCTTTGTTTCCGCTCTACCTGTCTGTTTGGATTAGAAAGCCACGAAGCATGTCTGCTTCCGTGCTCAGCGCAGCGCCCACTGGTTGTGCAACTCACAGAACGTGGATGATTGATGATGGTGTTAATCTGAGTAATAACCGACATTCCAGGCTCCATCTCAAGGAAACTTCGCGGTCCTGGGCAATGGATGCGCGTGTCCTGCACAGGAAGAACAGCCCAACGAACGGGCACCTGTGGGCACTGAGACCTGGATGGTGCAGTTCCGGACGCTCCGCCCTTTGAAAACTAAAGCAAGACAAGCCAGCAAGCCTGCACTCCTGCTGCAGGAGTAACAGCAGCACTGGTTGGGTGTCAGCTGGTGGAGCCTTTAAGTCAACGGGAACAAGGGTTTTTTTGTGTGTGTGCGGATGGCAAAACAGTGATTTTTTTATTGAGCACTTGCTTAGCGGTTGCTTAGTGTGTCATATATAACGCATATATAGTACATACACACAATGCACACACACTATATGTATATGCACACAATGCACACATATAGGCATATGCACACATGTGTACGTATACACACACACACTGGCCACTTTGTCATCTCAAAGTGGACAGAGTACCCCTGTTTTGGAGATGAGGAAACTGAGCCTACATTAAACAGTGTCTGGAATAAATGTCTGTGTCCTGGATGTGCTGACTGTGACCCTCCACCCTTGGCCCAAATATGGCATAGTTGTGTGGAATTGGAGCTCTCTGGCTAGTGAGAGACTGAACATACACAAGGGGACTCCCACTGACAGGAAAATGATTCCATGGAATCGAGGACGGGGTGCTGGGCTTCCCCTTTCATGAAGCCCAGGTGCCAGTGGCGTGATTTTGATGCAGTTTTTACTCTATATACACACACACACACATTATCTATGTATATGTGTATATATACACACATGGTATAAATATACATACATACATACCATACACAAATGTACAAATACATGCATTTCCCAGGCACACATTATATGTATATGCACACATAGGTGCACACACACCACACATGCATGTGTGCGTGTACACACACATCACACACACAGTGTGTGTATATATGTATGCATGTGTGCACACACTATACATGCATATGAACACACATGTACACACACAACCACACATTACATGTACACACATACACGAACACTCGCACACACCACATACATACACACGGGCACATATACACACACATGCACACAAACACACCAGACACACATACATTTACATATATGTATACATGCCTATATGTGCACACACATACACACAATGGCTACTACTCAGTGGTAAAAGATGAACACTTTCCATTTGTGACAGCATGACAGAACTGAAGGGGATTACCCTAAAAGACATAAGTCAGAAGGAGAAAGAAAGATACAGGATGATTTCATTTATGTGTGGAATATAGAAAATAAAGGAACTGACAAATAGAGACCAATACCAACCCTAGAAGTATGAGTACAGAATTGAGGCTGCTGGGATAAGGCTCAGGGGCTGGCTATAAAGGTTGGAAACAGTGGGAATGGGGCCCAATGCTATGTGGTGCTGTGGAGGTGGGGGTGGTGTGGTATTATCTGAGGAAGTGTGACTTTATGCCCCTAAATCACATACAGTGTTGTAAACCGATGTTACCTTAAAAAAGAAAAAAAAAAATTGGTCTTTGTCCCTGGTTCCTAAAATCATGTGACTTCTAATAGTAGCACCTTTCCTTATTCATAAGGAAACCCTTTGGTCAGTATAGACTCTTTAGGGGGCTGGTTGTCTGAGGAATCAACTGTTTGATTAGAGGCTTAGAATTTTCAGTCCCCCATGCTTCCACTGGAGATTTGGAATAACCAATGGCCAATGATTTAATCAACCATGACTTTGTAGTGAATTGTCCATCCAGATCCCCAATGACAGGGTTTGAAGAGCTCCTGGGTCAGAGAACACGTAGAGATACCAGGAGGGCACAGTCCCCGAGGGTAGGGAAGATCAGAACCTCTCCCCAAGTCTTTCCCTAAGCATCTCTTCCACTTGGCTGCTCCAGCTTGTATCTTTTGTAATAAAACTGAAACTTAAGTATTTTTCCTGAGTTCTGTGAGCTATTTTAGCACATAATAGAACCCCAGGAGGGGATTGTGGAAACTTCTGATTTAGGGCCGGATCCTCAGTAGAACTGGCGGCCTGGACGTTGTGAGTAGAATCTGGAGGGAGCTGACTGTGGGCCTGAGCTCTTCAACTTATGGACTCTGGCCCCAGGTAGTTTGTACCAGACTGGAATGAAGTGATAGGTCACCCAGTTGGTGTCAGAGAATTGGACATTTGGTTGGTGTCAGAAGACACCTCAGGCAATATTTTCTGTCATGGTCCGGGAAGAGTTGAATTGGGTTTCTTCCTTCTTAAATAATCTAACTCCATTTAGAAGATGCCACCTCTGGAGAGAGGCTTGGGTCTCTGCTCAGCCTGGCCTGGGACTGTGACAGGCAGCCAGATGATCAAACAGGGGACAGAGGTTGGGCTATTGTGTGTCACACTCACCCTGACCAGTCATGTGGGGACAACTAGGGTGAGCTGTTCCCAAAAGTCAGATGCTGTATTTCTGCCTGCGAAGCTCAGAAAGACCATGCGCCCCCAAATATATATTGTTTTGTGATGTCACCTATGGAATGTTCTGAGTGTTTTGGTGACCAGCTTCTGCACAGGAGTTATACTTGGCACCTCACACTGGTATGGTTTCTGACTTCAGATAGAAATAATAACCTTAGAAAAGGAATGCAGTGTAGGTATCTGTTTCAAAGACTTTGGAAGGGCTTTTACATCAGATATAATAACTGTCTTAATTTCTGTGCAGAGACTGATAAGAGCCTCATATCAGATAGCTACACATTCTTTCAGGCTTATATTCTCATAATGTGCACAGTTGTCAAGAGGGGATAAATGCGTAGAAAGTCCTTTGTTTTCCAGGTGATCGATGAGGCCCATGGGCAGCAGAAGTCTTCTTACTTTCTCTCTTCCACAGCACTCAAGGCCACATTTTACAAGAAAAGGAGATACCAGAGCTGAAAACCTAGAAATTCCTATCAATGTGGTTCTACCTCAGGTAGGTATAATCACAGGAAAGGTATATAACCTGTTAGCCAGAATAACCACCCTCCTCTGTCAATACTCTGGCAAGATGTAAAATGAGCAGAATTATCAGGGTTTCTGATTCTAGTTGTGGGTCAGTTGCCTGTGTCCTGCATCCAAGAGAAGACACTTAACCCCTCTGCGTCTTGACATCCTTGTTCCTGAATGGGGGTGGGTGGGTTAGGCGATCTTATAAGAACTTTATGCTCTAACACTTGAAATATCCATGACTGAAATTAGCCAGTCTTCTCAAAATTAGTTCTTTTGGTGCTTGCTATTGTAAAACCACTGAGATTTCTGGGTGGAGAATTAGAACTAGAATCAAATGACTATGACAGAATCCATGAGTAGAAACCAATTATGTGGACCAGTGGGTATAGGTATTAAGAGAATCAAGGTCTGCCTTACACAAAAAATTGAGGGCAAGGGAGATGGGCAGGAACCATTCAGAATGAAGATGAGTGAATGAAGTTCTTAACTGGCTTGACATTCTCAGGTCCCTTACTAAACAGCCCTTCCCTTGGTGAGTGCACCTGATTGGATGTTTCCATTACTGCTATGTCACAAAGGGGGCAGCCTTATTTCTCCAGAGTCACCAAAAGCCCTGTTGGAAGACCATGGCAGTGCAACCAGAGGGGCTGAAATGTAGGGTAGAGGAATCTAATGCAGAGGTAACTAAACTGTTTAGGGATTGCCAGCGAGTACCACCTCTTTTATATATATACGTGTGTGTGCGCACGCGTAGTTCTAAAGTCATCCCTTAAGGATTTTCAGAACAAATTAGAAAACCTTCAATGCTCTTTCTATAGTGGGTGGCAGTTGTAGCAATCTAGACAAAAATTCAGCAGGAGGAAAAAATAGAGAAGCGAAGTCCACTTTGGATACTTGTTTCCAGATTACCTTTATAACTATAATGGACAGCCAAGTCTTTCAGCTCACAAGGCTTTGTCAGGATAGAAGCTAACTTCCTCCTGATCATTAGCCGTGATGATTTGCTCACAGGGTTCCTATAGCTGTAGGACCCTTATTTTAGTGCCGACATTTTCCCCACTTGAAATGGATTTGTAGTTCTGTTATCCCTACTTCCCTGAGACTGGGTGTTTCTCCTTGGTTTCTTCACAGCCCATATCAACCTGCAGAAGTGACAGGAAGAGGATATCAATCTGGGAGTGGGTTGGGTGTGGGGAAAGGATTCGATAGAGTGGTCATGTGATGAGAGATTGGAACAGGGGTCCATATACACTGGCATAGCTCCCCAGCCGGCTCCTAGAAAGAAGACCAGCAGTGAAGGAGATTAGAAGTTGAGCAAAACTCAGGAGGGGCTTAAGGGGGTTGAGAGGGCTTATTCTGGGGCCATTCACTGCCTGTGCTGTGGGACCTGGTGCTGCTGTTGGGGTCTTGGAGGTGGAATGAGAGGATACCTGTGACCTGGGCACTTGTGCCACACGTGGGCATACGGAGCCTTATGGATACACCTACCGTAGTGGCACAAGTTCAGCACTGGGTTTCAGACACCTGCCAGGATGCTCCCTGCTGGTGCTCTGGGGGAGGAGTGTAGGTGTCTGTAAGTTTAGATGATGTAAACTGTGCCACCACCAGGGCTGTGAGTGAGACTGATAATGCTCACTGGATCTTCCTAAATGATATGGTGCACGGCTGCGGGAAGAGGATTGATCTGTCTAATAAGGGGAGAAAGGCATATTGACTGAGCATTGACTGATCATGTAGTGGTTACTGAGCCATGCATGTGTGAGACGGAGATTCCCTGGGTATGGATAGGAACCCCAGGAATCCCATTAGTAATAGCAGAGCTAGAGTGAGGGGACAAAACCAGGTCAGTGTCCACATTCTCCACCATGCCTCCTGGTTGGGCCAAGTCACATCTTAGCGCTCTACTTCTCTTGCCTTTCAGAGGGAGTCCCTATGCTCCCCATCTCAGCTGCTTGACCCTGAGGTCTGTGCATGTGTCTGCCACATGCTGCTTTGTTCTGGGGCAAAGGCCATTCATTTTAGAAGGGAATTGTGGCAGCTGCTCTCAGTCTCCAGAAAGTGCCTCTGGCCTCCCAGTTCCCAACCATGAGGGGCATTTGGGCTTCTCAATTACAGTGCACATGCCTGTGGTTCGCTATTTGTTATCACCGTAGGTTTTCTTAGGTCGTATTGATTTCCAGTTTTTCTTCAACACATTAAATATTTGTGTTTTCTGATCTATTTCTCTCCACTGCTTAATTTGCAAATCATCAGTGTTACTTTCTGCACAACCTAGCTGACCCAGGATTCCTTTTGTACCTAAGGATTCAGTTCTCACAGGCATTCCCTGATGAGCCGAATTTCATGAAATTTCATTTATTGCTAGATCATTAACGAAGGATCTACATGAGATCAGTGTGAGCTCTTATAGCACCCTCCAGTGTCCTCCTCATCCCTCATCATTGCCTTTTTCTTCATCTCCTTTGTTTAGACCTGTTCTTTATAAGTCATGGAATCTACCATCTAGTCTACTCTCTCTCAATTTGTGTAACTGTTAGGAGGAAGATTTCAGGAGCATTTGTGTTGAACAATCAGCTAAACCTTTTATATAATGACATTTTCTGTTCTTTGGTGTTAGCTATAAATTTATTAAACAACTCACACTGACCTGTGAATTACCCTTTCACCAGTTAGTATACAAAACCAACATTGACTTTATCAATTAACCAGGGAGCTGAGTTAATTTAAAAATCTGATAATGAGAATCAGCCTCATCACTTTGTCACCTGCAGATTTGTGGCATGTCTGACTCTTGCAGGATCCTGGTGTGTCAAGTGTAAAACACCTGAAAAACATCTCAGATGGTAAAATATTCTGATAGTAATAATCTTCAGTAATATTGTTTTAAGAACGTAGTCAATCAGCATGAGCTTTACTGGAGGCATTTGGATATCTCTTCTGATCGTAGTAACTGTGCTTTTCCAGGAGTGAAGCATTTCATTGCATGTCAGTTACATTGGCTGGTCACTATCCAGCTCTTTCCCTGAACCCTTTAGGTAGGAGGTCACTAAACTCAAAAACTCCATCTCAGAAGGTCCTGCTCAGAGGATCCTGTTCTTTAAACATCACTTAACATTACCAAGAGATTTTGGTTTTATCATCTCCCCTTTGCCTCCATCTTTACCCCCATCTCTTCATGGGCCACATGGGCAGATGTTGGGTTGCTGTGGGTCATGCACTGCAACAACAGTTGTGAGTGGCACCCTCTAAAGCTGGGCATTGTACAGCCTGCACAAACACAAGGAGTATCTCTGAATCATATTTGCTTCACCACTTTCTAGATATGGAAACTGAAGCAACAATATTGTCTCAGATATGAGATTTTGAAAAAGGTCATGTACTCAAACAATGCAGAGTCAGTGTTTTCTAAAGGGCTATGATGTCCAGTCCTAGTCTCCCTACTTTACTGCCTACTTGAATGTTTGCTGAATGTTGATTCCCCTCATTTGAGCCAAGAATAATTAGAGCCAGGAATTGATTTTCCCAATTGACTAGAAGTTCCCTGAGGGCAGGATCTGAGAATATATGCCAAATCAATGTACATTCATTGACATAAATGTGGAGGAATAATTTGATGCAAGTAAGGAGTTCTCACAAGGGCAAAAAAGAAGTTTGAGTACTAATTCAGCTAGGTTTGGGGAAAGAATTTGTGTTGGCTTAAAATTCAATCATGAATCTTGTCATATCTTGAAATCCTTTTCACTTTCAAAAATAGAAAAGGTGCTGTGTATTTTAGCTTTGCCTTATTACTGTAGGCATATGTTTCTAATATCCATTAAAACAAATATGTAACTATTAAAAGTTAAGAACTATTTAAGTGTTCTCTGAAATGGTCATGAAGCAATGTTAGGTTTGGTCAGTGGGAATAGCAGGAAAGCTTGTAGTCATAAGAGCAGGATTTAACCTTCTGCTTAAGGATGCAAAGGGGATTTATTAGGTCATCAACATTTTCTGGACTAGGTGCTGTAGGCATGGAAAAGAGGAGGGGCAGTTATTCTTGGGAAGAGTTATCCATCTAAGGGACAGAATAAGATGCCAACTAGGTTGGTAAAGAAGGCTGCTGTGGCCATAGTGGTAACAATTTACAAACACAGTTCCATTGGACCAGAGAATGTTAGGCCAAGAAGGCATGTGGGAGTGACGGCATCAGTCTTCCCCTGTTACAGAAATAGAAACCAAGGTCAGGGCTGAGAGGCTGTGACTAAGGACACCTCGTGGTATACGTATGGACAAAGGCCCAGACACCCAGATTGTCTAGGCATCTGTCACTGCAGGTAAAGTTTTTACTTGGTACATTTCTGTTGGGGCACAGTTGAAGTTCCTTGGCTATCCAGTCCTGCATGTGGATGTAGAATAAAGGAAGTTGACTAGAGAGATAGAAAGGTTGTTACTTTGTATGACAGGAGACTCTGAACTGGTATAGTGTACTAGTGAGTCCTCTTTGGACATTCAGTAGGATCAAGAATATTGAAGTGAAACAGTGGGGGAAATTTGAACGATGACTTGGTATTTGCTGATATTAAGGTATTATCTTTAAATTTTATCTTATATTTTTACATTTTGAAAGGACAACTTTATTAGAAAAAGGAGAAAGAAAAAAGAAAGGTACCTGTTTAACCACAGGTGGGCATGAGAACTAAAGGGATGGTTACAGTATTGTGATTATAGTAAAAGAATATATGTCAGTGTATTGATGGATAAAATGACTCAAAGTCTAAACTTTGTTCTAAGATAATAAGCCAGTGGTGGAGTGGTTGTAGAATTGGGTGGAAGTAAGATGAAACAAATGTAGACTTGGTTTGATGATTGCTGAAGCTAGGTTGATGGGTACATGGAAATTTATTAGACTATTCTCTCATTTCTGTGTTTGAAAATTTTCATCATAAAATGTTCATGGAAAACTATTTTGACGCCTAGAGCACTGCAAATCCTTTGATAAATTCTTGATTATCTCTCATGCTGCTTCTCACATGTAATTTCATAGGAGCCATTCCTGGGTCTGTGAGTCAGTGAGTAAACTAGTGCTGGTTATTGAGCTTTTTATGAGTTTGTTTCTTCTTCTGTACAGTGGAAATAATGCTAGCACCTTGTTAAGTCAAAGAATAAGAAGCATTTAGTTGGTAGAATGTTCAGCTCAGAGCCTAGCACAAAGCTGAGGCTCAATATTTCTTCCCTTTCCTTCTCAAGAAGGAAACGCTGTTAACTAAAACCACAATTGCCATAGCAATAACTTGTAAAGCAAGACCCCATCAAGATAGAGGCCTACATTGACTATAGTGGCAGTTTTGGAGAAAACTCCGCAGTGACTTTGAAATCTTACTCCTTTAGAAGACTTAGTCACTCCTTAGTGACTTGATTCCAGATTTCTGGGATCAAGGGAATTCAACTTACAAGGAAATTCTGGGATAGCCACAGAGAACTTCATTCTGAACACAAGTCCATCCACAAAAGCCAATGTGCTTTCCCTGCTGAGAATTATGAAAACTGTGGAGGCTGGATTGCAGAATTTCGTCACACTCTCTCTCTCCAGAAGATTAAGCACATCTTTAGAAAGTTAACGGCATGTGTTTATTGTTAAGTTAATGGCATAGAACTGTGCCTTTTATTTATTTAGCTTCTTGGTTCTCAAAGAATTCTAACCAATTTTATATTTAATGTACAAATTATCTCTCTCTCTTTACACATGTATATAAGTAGATAACCTGACTTGTTTACTATTTTCTCTATGTGCAAAATTGTGAAAATAACCTAAGCAAGGAGAAAATGCTGTTTGGAGAGCTTTGTGATATGCAAGGAGGAATTGCTGTTTGGAGAGCTTTGTGATGTGCTTGGATGAGATGCTTTTGGTATATTTAGAAGGAGCTGTCATGACCTTATTTTTATTTAAATTTATTGCTGCAAGTGTTGCTTCTTCTCCAGGATACCTGTTCACTGCTTTTGAATACATCTCCAAATTCCTCCGTTTGTGAAATCTACTTTTCTTGATAACAATGCCTCACATTCCTGTGGCACTTGGCAATTTTAAAAACACCTTTGCATTCATTACCTCATTCATTCCTAGCAATTGTGTTGTGAACTAAGCAGGCACACATTATTATTGTTTCCATTTTACAGGTACATTTCATGGTTTTGCAGCATTGGAAAGTAATTTGAAGATCGTTGAATCTGATTCTATCTTTTGTGCTAGTGAAAAATCTAGGTCTCATGAGAGATTGAGCAAGGCCTTCGATTTTCACCCTGCTCTCAGTGACAGACCAGAACAAGAATCCTGTAACCCCTGGGGCCTTTTCCTGTGATGGTACCCTCTCCAGGCAAACTGCCCATCCTATCTGACTTAGAACAGTGCTGACCACTTACAGCAGGATCATCTGAGGGAACTGGTCAGAAATGTAGATTATTGACCCATGGCCTGGACGGTGTGCCTCAATCTTGCAATCAGAGGCTTTGAAATCTGTATTTAAAACTCATATGGTTCTTTTGTTCTAGGAAGTGTGAGAGCTACTAACTTGTTTGGTTCAAGCTGTGTAGATTTGATTCCCTTTTTATTTGGTGGTCTGGCAGCATCTAGCCACCATCAAGAATTCTTTATGAATTCCCCAGTGTCCTTTGCGGTCTTCATCATGATAAACTCTCATTACTCAGAGATATGTCTGCCTTACCAAAATTATCACCCAGATTCTGTTTTGAATTTAGCACTAAGCCGTTGGATGGCCAACAGGCTGCAGGGAGAATCTGGTGGCAAAGAGTGGAGGATGAGTCTGAATGGGCAGAAGAAAAGGCTGGGCTGGCCAACAGCAGTGGCATTATGGACAGAGCGATTTGGCTATTGGAGTGATTCATGTTACGCCCACCCATGCCAACTGTCAGCACACACCTGTGCCTGGGGTAGATTAAGAACAATATTTGTTTTTCCTTTGGGGGGGGGGTGGGCAGAGGTTTTTCAGAGCCCATGCCTAGTGCTTTCATAGATTACCTTGTTTAATCCTAAAAATACCTCCATGAGGCACAGCAGTAGTTACAATGATCTCAGTTTTAAAATGTGGAAACTCAAGCTCAATTTTCGTTACTGATAAAGGAGCTGAGCCAGGACTCAAACTATTTGGTTGACTCCAAAACCAATGCCTTTAACTTCCACAATACAGAATTCTCTTTGTTCATGGATTCTGTGTTTTCACATTTGTTTGTTCACTAAAAATTTTTGCAATCTCAAAATGGTACTTCCTGTGTGGAAAAATTTTGTGTCACCTGATAATAACACATGGACCCTAGCTGAGTGTTCTTATTTAAGCCTGCATACACAGTGTCCTTTCCACAGTTTGTAGTGCCATGTTTTCCATATTTTTGTGCTTTTTACTGAGTTCACTGTTTAGGATGGTCTCCAAGTGCTGTCTAGTGTTTCTAAGCACAAGAAAGTGGTGATGTGCCTTAAACATTACACACGTTAGATAAGCTCTGTTTATACATGAGTTATAGTACCTTTGCCCAAAAGTTCAATGTTAATGAGCCAACAATATCTATTAATTTAGGTGCCTTTCAACAGAAACACACATAAAACAAGGTTAGTATTGACTGGTTGAGGGAAGTGTGACCAGTTGCTGGCAGGAAACTCACCTTTATCTCTCCTAGGAGCAATGGCTCAGTGTTCACTAATTTGGTGTTTACTTTGACTTAATAGAGCAGAACTGCCATGAATAATGAGGATCGACTCTTATTTCCCTGTGAGGGCCCAAGAGGCCAAGACAGCAGTTCTCACTGTGGCCAGGCCAGACTATCAGACTGGGTTTTTGTGCACTATCCTGACCTCATATCTGTCAGCCAGCCTTGGGTGTGTCAGTTCTTTTACTAACTCTGGGACCCCCTTCTCTCCCACAGAGGGGCACAGCCGAGCCTTTTTTGAGGCTCCACAACTTGTACCCCACCCCGCGCTGCTCCAGGCAGGCTGCCCTGCCCAGGCTGAGCCGCAGGGTGGTCAGCCAGCACTCCTACCCACTGAACCGCTTCTCCTCTGTGCCCTTGGACCCCATGGAGCGCCCCACCTCCCAGGTGGACCTGGAGCTGGATTACAACCCTCCCCGGGTTCAGCTCAGTGATGAGATGTTTGTCTTCCAAGATGGGCGCTGGGTGAATGAGAACTGCCGCCTGCAGTCTCCCTACTTTTCTCCTTCCCCTTCCTTCCACCACAAGCTGCATCACAAGAGGCTGGCCAAGGAGTACTTACTGCAGGAGGAGAACAAGTCTCTGCGGGAGGAGAACAAGTCTCTGCGGGAGGAGAATAAGACCCTCCGCAAGGAGAACAAGATCCTGCAGGTCTTCTGGGAGGAACGCAAGGCGGCCCCAGGCCGGGAGGAGAGCAGAGCCTCCTCTCCACTGCTGCACAAGGACAACTCGCCCCTGGAAGTGGTGAAGAAGGACAACACTGCCCTGCAAGTGCATCGCGGCAAGGAGAACAGCACCCTTCAGCTCCTCAGAGAGGAGAACCGGGCCCTGCAGCAGCTGCTGGAACAGAGAAAGGCCTACTGGGCCCAGACAGAAGAGAAGACAGTACCTGAGGAGGAAAACCAGTCAGTAGCTTTACCTCACGAGGAGGCTCATGGCCCCGGGCTGCTGCCAGACCAGGGCACTGGCCTCTCCTTGCCCTTTGAGGATCCCAAGGGGCCCTCGGCCCCACAGGACGACTCCAAGACACTCCGAGCGCTGCGCGAGATGGTCAACAACCTGACTTCCGGGGAGGGAGAGAGCAAGGCGGGCCCAGGCCTGATGGACAGCAGCCAGTCCCTGGAGCTGCTGCGAGAGATGAACCAGGCACTGCAGGCTCTGCGGGAGGAGAACCAGAGCCTGCAGCTCCTCCGCGAGGAGAACCGACTTCTGCAGGAGGAGAACAGGGCCCTGCACGTGCTGCGAGAGGAGCACAGGATCTTCCAGGAGGAGAACAAGGCCCTGTGGGAGAACAACAAACTGAAGCTGCAGCAGAAGCTGGTCATTGACACCGTGACCGAGGTCACCGCGCGCATGGAGATGCTCATCGAGGAGCTCTATGCCTTCATGCCTGCCAAGACCAAGGACCCCAAGAAACCCAGCAGGGTCTGAAGCCGCCAGATGCACAGAGGCACCAGGTTGGGGCACAGAACATTTGATGGAAGAAAAATCTCCTACTTCCACTTGTCTTCCTTGCCTTCACCCAGCAGTTTGTGCCTGTTGAAGAGCAGAATTATTGGCCTTCCTAAGCTCAGAGGAGTAATAAAGGTGTGAGGAGGCTGGGTCAATTCTACCATGTGCTGCCTCGCTGTCTTTTCTTTCCAGTTTTTTTTTTTTTTTGAGCAGTTTTTAAGTTCACAGCAAAACTGAGCAGAAAGAACAGAGTTCTCATAACCCCTCCCGCACACCACCAGACTGGTACATTTTTCAGTGAACCTATGTTGCTAACTTATAATCACTCCAAGTTGATGGTTTACATTAAGGTTCTCTCTTGAGTGATGCACATGCCCTAAAAATCCTTCCTTTCCCCTAACCCCTGGCAACCACCGATCTTGTTACTGTCTCCATAGTTTTGCATTTTTCCAAATGTCATCTAGTTGGACTCATAGAGTTGGTAGCTTTTTCAGATTGGCTTCTCACTTACTGTGCGTTTATGATCCCTCCATGTCTGCTCATGACTTGACAGCTCATTTCCTTTTAGGATTGACTAATATTCCATTGTCTGATTGTATCACAGCTCATTTATCCACTCACCCACTGAAGGACACCTTGGCTATTTCAAAGTATTAGCTATCATGAATTTGGCTTTCCCTTCTCCTCCTTGTCTCTACCTTGCCTCAGCCTTCATTGTTTGTTTTTCTTTTCCATTGCCTCTTTTTCTCTGCTCTTCCTTGCTCTCTAATACCCTCAATTTCTGAGGCGTACTGTGACTGGTGGCCTGTGAGAAAAGTCAGTCTAGAACAGGGCTTTTCTACTGTGCTGCTATTGCCATTTGAGGGTTGGATAACCCTTCTTTGTGGGGGCTGGCCTCTATCCAGGGTGAAGGATGTTTGTTTACCAACATCCTTGACCCTTTCCCACTAGATTCCAGTAATAGTCTCCTGAACACCAGCTGTGACAACCAAATATGTCTCCAGACATTGCCCAATGCCCCTCAGGGAACAAAATCCCCATAACCGGCCCTCCCTGGTGGCGCAGTGGGTTAAAGCACAGCACTGAGAATCTAAAGCCGCTTCCGCATGAGTTCGATTCCTGCCTGCCCCGGAGATGACCACATGGCGTGGCAGACCTCTCCTGACCCGCCCGCTTCTCCCCTCAGCAGTGTACTTCATCGATCTGCCTGTTCTGTTCCCCACTCTGTCTCTGGGGAAGCCTCTCACCACCCCTGAGCCTCTGGCCTGTACCCTAGTTCTGTATGCACAAATAAATAAATCTTTTAAAAAAAAAATCCCCATAACCTACTCTAGCACTCTTCTAGGTTTCTCAAAATATATTCCTTGAAATACTGGTCCTTGAAATGCTCTGAGAAAATGAAGGGGCGGGGAGGGGACTTGGGCATGCTCCTGGATTCATAATGATACTCCACATTAAAACATCTGAGCAGTTCTACAATAAAGAAAACTGTTAGCATTGGTAAACCCGAAATTGCCCATTTTTTACAAGATTTGAAACTTTTTTAATGTTCACTTGTTGATCACCTAGTTTGTTCTGAGCTATCCCCAGCCCCAAACTCACCTCTCCCCCAGGTTTCCTCTGTTTACCTGTGGCTTCCACTTCCTGTGTCAGGTACAGGAGTGGGGTAAGTGCTTCTGGGCTCACTAAAATGAGGTGGAGAGGTGGAGAGGTGGAGAGTTGGTGTTCCAGGCTTAAGCTCCATGTGAAAGTAGGAGGATATTCTTAGGTGATTATAGAAGAGGTTTGGGCAGAAATCCCAAAACTTTGCTGTGTAGTGGAATCACTTTGGATCTTTGCAAAATGCTGACTCCTGGACTCCACCATAGATATTCTTATTAGGTTGGTGTCGGGTATGACTGGACATGGATGTTTAAAATCTCTCCAGATAATTCTTATATGCAGAGAAATTTAGGAATCGTTGGGGTAGGATGGGTGAAGCTACCTGATGCTCAGTATAATGCTCCATTCACTAGAAGGAGCTGTAAGACAGTAGGCACATATGAAGGATTATTCCCATTTTGCTAATGGGAGGCCTGATTACTGGTAGAGACAGGAGTTTAATACTGGCATAGTTTCACTCCTAGAGTATTGCCATACTGACTGGGCTTCTGAGACTTGGAAGCTCCAAGAGAGGAGCCAAGGACAGTAGCCCACACTGGCAAAGCATATTGCCCATCATTTATCACTGGGTGTCACCTCCATGATTCTTGGTACTAGTAAGCAGGCTTTATCATTTTTTTCTTTAAATGCTTTTACTTATTTTAAAGGTCTATTTCTGCATACAACAACTAGGGTGTAGGTCAGAGATATGGGGGTGAGAGGATTCACCAGAGACAGAATGGGTAGCAGAACAGGCTGATCTACTGAAATAAACTGCTGAGGGGAGCAATGGGGGAGACAGGAGAGGTCTGCTGAGCCATATGTGGGTCACCTCCTTGGCTGGGAAGCCAACTCAGGCTTTGGTGGTGATAATGCTGAGACTTGACCACCTGTGCTAGAAACTGAAACAAATGATTGCCAAAGGTTAGCCAGCTAGTAAGAGCTAAACTGGGGGCTTCAGTGCTGATATGATGACTAAAGAGATCAATTCATGCTGTGAGATCACACTCCTGTAAACCTGGTCTTGAAAAATTAAGTTTAAAAATGGTGCCTATTTATTTGGTGATGGGAAGCCCATGGGAATTACAAGTGAGATGGAAAAATTCACAAAAAGATGTAAAAATAAACAATTATATTACTTAAAAAAATGGTGCCTGTTTTCCAGATTTAGCACTGTATTAACTCTCATGAAAAATTGTATCAGATTGCAAATAAGGGAGAATAGTGATAGGAGTATTTTGTCTTGCCAGCCAGTGACTACACATCTAATCTGCCCGCCAGGGCAGAGGGAGACTGATGTACATGCGGAGGCTGAGCAATTATTCCCCCTATTGTACCAAAATCTGAAAAATGGGAAGTTGTTGCTAATGTCCCTCTGGCCCTTTACAATTTTTTTCTGTTGAATTTGGTAAATGCACCATGTGGGGCATCGTGAAACACCATGCTTTGTTTAAGTCAATGTAATAAGCCCAGGGTGTCGGGTTTTTTTTTCTTTTTTGATGAAACCAAATTGATTCTAGACAATTGGAAGACAAAAGGCACACTCTCCCCATGTTTGTGTTACAAATATTTAACTTGTATTAATCTCCAGAATAGCGGATGGAGGTTTTCTTGCAAGCTGAGGGAACTCAGAGGATTTAATACTATTTAGCAATGTCAACTTTCTCTGGCAGGCAGAATCTAAATGGGTGAAAAATGATCAAGACGGAGCCATAAAATGTCATTTTTATGGAGTGGGAGAAATTTACTTCAAAACAATGTTTCATTGTATAGTGCAATCTGTCACAGATTAGCTGACATTCTAGTAGGAGCTAACCTCTTGTAGAACAGAATGAAATTTCATTCTTGAAGGAGAACTTCCTCTCAATATCTCTGTTCCCTTTACAGTTCTTTCTGCAAACACCATCTGGTCCAACCTTAAGTCCTTATTCTAATGGCCAACACTATTTTCTCTTTCCAGTTCAGCTTCATTCTAAGACCCTATGACTTGTCTTTAGAGGGTTAAACATGCTACCTTATCCTCTCCCATTTGGCCCTGATGTGACTGATTCAGTTTGTTGAAGTCAAGTATAATCCTGTTGACCTGACCAAATCCTGTCCATAGCCCTACCTGGTGCCCCTACATAGAGGAGCAAATCAAGTGGAGAAGAACATTCATAACTGCAAGCAAAAGGCTAGTTATTGGAAGCTAAATCCCTCAGAATTAGTTGAGGGAGGGGATTCCAATAGGAAAAATCTCCCACACAAGGTCATCAGAGTTTAGCAGAGAATTTCAACAATAGGATCTAGGATCAAAACAACTCTGAAAACAATCTTGTAGGCTTCTTTAATGCTCAGATTTTATTCTTCAAGTTTTTCCTTTTGTAAGAACTTTGCATCAAATGAAGTGACCCCAGCCCGCATGAAGGGAAACTCACTATACTGCTACTTTGCTTTGTGCATGTCCGAAGCAGCTGGGAGGGAGAGTACAATGGGATGAGGTGATGGAGGAAGTCAGAGACCCCCTTCCTCTTCAATAACCATCTGTTTATTGTCCTTGGAGTTGAATTTTTGATTCATCAGATGAGAAGTGGCTTTTACAGAGAAGTCAGGTCATTTTCAAATATTCCGAATATACCAAGAGCAGCTGCTGGAAACAGTGTTCTTTCCATTCATAATTTTGGGCCCTTGAGTTTTGTGTAGTGGCAGTGTGCTTGTGCTCTGTGTACCCACCCCCTCCACATTCACATGCAAATCTTCTCCAGCTTGAGCTCCTACCATTTCCTTTGGGTAACAGTGCTTCCCAGATTCCTTACCCTCTTTGTTCACTCAAACAATGGCCTTTGTAACCAAGAACAAGTGAGGAGCAGGTGACAGATTATTTTTAATGCTGTCAAGACAAGTGGCAGTTTAATTCATGACTTTTTCTCTGTTTGCCTTGATTCTTGTGGACAGGCTGATTCAGAGCCCTCCCTTAGAAATCCTTGTGTGTTGGGGACACTAAGGCCAGACCTCTTTCACAAGCTGGTCAGTGATCACTTAGGAGCACTGTGTGATGGGATAGAATTTCTTCATTGTTTCTTACCTTTTGTGGACTTCAGATTGGATTGTCCTCAGTTCCTCTCTCTCCTCAATTACCAGGTCCTATTTTATTTATTTAAAGATTTATGCATACACAACTGGGGTACAGACCAGAGGTGTGGGCAGAGGTGGGTGAGAGGATTCACCAGGGTCAGAGTGGGGAACAGAACAGGCTGACTGATGAAGTGCACTGCTAAGGGGAGCAGCAGGTGAGACAGGAGAGGTCTGTCACCATGTGGGTCAGTTCCCTGGCTGGGGACCGACTCATGTTGAAGCAG